GGTTAGTACCCCGGGTCCCGCGAGGGCGGGGCCGGCCCGAGCGACGCGTCACGCAGCCAATCCGAGCCCCCATCGAGGGCACCTCGGCGGCGCTCGCGGGGGGAGGACCGAGGACCTCCGAAGGCCGCCCCACCGGGAGGGGCGGAAGGCCCCGCCTCTCGGAGGACGCCTGGGGTCGGGAGCCCAGCGCGACAGCCCAGGGCTCCTGGAGAGTTCTGGGGAACCCGGGCCAAGGCTAAAAATGTGTTTAAAAGGTCGGGGCCCTAGCTCATTCGCCGCCGTCTCCAGGGCCGCGCCTCCTCTTCTCTCCCCCCTTTACTCACTGCCCGCTGTCGGGACTCCCCAGTTCCAGCCGCTTTGGGCCTGTGTTGCCTGCACCCACAGCTGGGGACTGCAGGGGCCCCAAGACGGGTGACACTGCGCGGAAGCTGCCCCAAAGAGGCTTCTCACCTCCCTAGCCCGCAAATTATTTTGACCCAAGAGTCTCCATCGCACAAGAGATTATGCGCGCACCAGCGGCCTCTGCAGCTCCCAGGCCTGAGCGACTTTGGTCCTGGCCTCGGCGGGCCCGGGACTGAGGGAAGGGTGTCCCCCCACAGGCGCGCATCTGGCTTGGGAGCGACTAACCCCGTTCCCCTTCGCTCTCCCGTCAAGTCAACTGTCAGGATAGTGCAGGCCTCGCTGCGTCGTTCTTCGTCGTGGCGGCCTGTGGCTCTTTGTAAACCGCGATGGGGCCAGAAAAACGCGAGTGATTTTTTTTTTTTCCTGGTTTCTCTCCCCGCATTGTAACCACGATCCTGCATCATGTAAGAGGACGCGAGTCTGTGGCGAGAAGAAAACGGCGGAGAATGCGGGAATGGCCGCAAAGCTAAGGGCCCCGGCTTGCAAAGAAGGGAGTTCTTTCCTCCACGTGGATACCACCGGCCCCGGCGCGGCCGAGTCTACGTCTTCCCCGGCGGTGCACGCCGGCCGCGCCGCAGGGACGCACACAGCTCTGCGGAGGCACGCCCTGCCTGCCCGCTGGCCCTGGGTCCTCGATCCCACTCCGGGCCATGCGGCCCACCGCTCTTGGGGCTTCACGGCGAACAATCCCTTCTGTCCTGCCTCCTAGGCCAGGCGAGCGGGACTAGGGACAGAATACAGCGGGGAGGGAGACTGGAAAGATCAAGCCTTATTCACCCTGGAATCCCGCCCCAGACACTCCCTGGAGTCTGGGGAACGAATGCGTGCCGAGTCTCTCCGCCGTTTTGGAGATCGGGTTGGATATTCGTTGTTCCCGGTCCTCGACAGGTGCAAAACGACGAATTCCACGTCTTGGGTGCGAAGAAGCGTAAGAACCGACGGTGGCGGCAAGATTCCGCCCCGCATCTGACCCCGGCCCCGTGCGCACCATTTCGTCGTCGCCAAACGAAATCAAGCCCCGCGTGCACTGCAGAGCAGACTGGCTCTGGCCCAATCTCGACCACCTGGACAGCTGGTCCCTACCCCTCTCCGAGCCTCCCGTCCGCTGCTTAGGCCATTGAAAAGCGTAGAAGGAGAAGGCCCCTTACTGGACCTTTTTATAAAGCCTACACCTCGGATTCGCAGATCGCGGGGGCTGAGGCCCGCGCGCTCTGGCGAGCTCTGGCACTAGCCGCAGAACCAGAAGAAAGCGAGGGGCCCGGCTTCGGTGCGTCCAACCTCTGGGAGCTTCCCCACCAAAGGCACACGACATGGTAGCGAGGTAGGGCCCAGGGCCAGGGAGGGCGGGCGATGAGTGCTGCCCTGGGGTGGCTGTGGTGCCAGGACCTGTAGGGTTTGTAAATTCGATTGGTTTATTGGTTTCGGTTTGCGCCCGGGCCTTTACTTATTCCTCTACCTGATTCCTCTCTCTTATCCGACGGCGGGTTTACAAACGGGTTTCCTGAGAATGGGGCTCCTGTGGGTCTCGGCACCTGGCACAGGTCCCGGCGCGGCTCCAACTCTCGGTAGGGCTCTCGCTGAAGGTGGGCGCCGGAACCAGGGGTCCCTGGTTGTTGGCGCCAGGGTCCCCAACCGGAGGTCGCCAGTGCCGCGGGGGCCGGAGCAATTCCGAGAGCCACCGCTAGTTGGCGCCTGCACTCTGCCAGCTGCGTAATTGCCCCGCCAGGCCCTGCTCACACATGTGAACCAGCTGGGATCCCCATGTCCAGGCGCAGCGGGTCACCGAAGGGCTGCCCTTGCTGGGCAGACGTCCTGTCCTATTCTTCGCTATTTGTACGGCCACGTCTGGGACAAACCAATGGCTTTGTGTCAGACCGGAGGCTGCTCTCCCAGCCCTCGATGGACACTGACGCTTTGACACTGATGCTTTCGGCATTCGCATCTCAGACATCCGAGAGTCCCTGTGCACTCCCACCTGCAGAACGTCCTCCCTGACAGAAGTGCACAATCCTTTCCTGCCTCATTATGAGGGACTGGGGTGACGAGGACGCACAGAAAAACAGACCAGCTCATTACCGATTTCGACGAACGACCAACCTACTTCCCAGTCCCAAACCCACAGACCTGACCTAGGGTCATTCTCATTCTCATTCTCTCTCTCTCTCTCTCTCTCTCTCTCTCGACAATTGAAGGGCTCTTACTCCTCTACCTGGGACATGCGGATACTCTCTCCCTTCCCCATCTTGTATACACAGCCATCTCTTCTCCTTTTTTCACTGGACCCATGTACAAACACCCTGCTTTCTCTTAAATGGCTCCTGCCTAAGGGCACCCAAGTTGTCCTCAGGATGAGGCCCAGAGCTGAGTAAACAGGGACCCAGACTCCAGCCTCCAGAGCCCCGGTTCTGTGGGCCACTCCTTCTGACAGTGTCCTTCATTCCAGGGAGAGGATCCACAGGGTGAGAATGACCCTGTGTCAGGCCACCCTCCTCCTGCCACTGGAGGTTGTCTAGAAGTTGGCTCTACGTGCCTTACTCCTAATGAGGTGCTGGCCAGAGAGCTTCCGAGGGCAGGTCTGATGCCTGGAGAGTCCCGGTGCCTGGGGAGGGGCGAGGATCCCCTAGGTGTACCAGACAATGGGCATATATGCTCTGGAAAACCTTCTAAGAGGTCTACTAGTTCTGGAAAGAGCTTGGGTCTGCAGTTTTACTGCCTGAGTTTTTCCTCCACCACCTACTGTGATCTAGGGAAAATTGCTTAAAACCTCTCTGAGCCTCGTCTGTGTCATCTGTAAAGTTGGGGTAATAATAGTGGCCTCTTCACAGAATTGTGTGTAAAGTGCTTAGCACAGGCCTGGCACTTAAGGGGCGCTCCACCCATCGTCACTGTTGTTATGCTGTTTAAATAAAGCCTGTTCATGCCTTGTCAGGGGCCTTTGGCAAGTCACCTCCCCTCTCTGGGCCACACAGTTCCCATTGTGAAGTATCCAATTCTCATGTTCAAAGCTTGCCAGGACTCAGAGCCTAGTCCATGGCCATCCTGTCCCCCTTGGTTCACTTAGGGGCTGCTTAGGGGAGGTAAAGACTGCCTATGTCCTGGCTCCAGGTGGAGGCAGCTTGCAGGAGGCTTTCCAGTATCCATCACAGACTCCCCACCCCTTCTCTCTGACACTCTCAGCTACCTTCTTCCTCCTCCCTCCCCCTCCCCAGGAGGCATCTTTCTCTTTATCCCGAGTCTCATGGGAGCCCCAATCCAGTGACTAGACAAAGAGACTGTCCTCTAGAAGCTAATGATTTCTCCCAGTTTTGCCTCCACACCCCTACTTGGGAAGGTTACATATCACCATGTAACCCTCCTGCCTGGTGCCCTGGAACTCAAGGTGGGACATTTCTGCCCTTCACTGAGCTTCAGTTTTCGATTCTGTGAATGGAGTTCATTCCAGTCACTCCATTTCCTAATTCGGAGGATTGGAGACTTCATCTGGAGGGGAGGGCACTGTGTTCCACGGGATCTAAAATGCCATCCATTGGTTCATATGAAAGAAAAAGAAGGAAAATATTGCTAATTAAACCAGGACTTGCCTGCGTCCTGGTTTCGGGTATATAGTGACACATATATAATTATAAATTTGTATATTATATATAATGTATGTGATACATACTATATATAAAAATATATAAAATTAGCAAGAAAGGGTCATGAAAACAGTATTATATTTGAGGGGTTGTTGCTTCCAAGGTTGGGGGCCCTCATCTCAGAAAATCCAGCTCTGGACCGTTCTTCCTGGGCAGCCTCCGGAAGGCTCCAGAATATGCAGGCGGACAAGTGTACTTCTCAAATTACAGTCTTTTTTTTTTTTGGAAAGGGCTAGACTGGAGGGGAGGGAGGGGGAGCTGGGGAGAGCACTGTGGTTAGGACACAGCTGTTGGCTCTGCCATCGACTGGCTGTGCAACTTTTGCTCTTCTCTGAGCCTTGGTTTCCTAACTGGTAGAATGGGAAGAACGGTGACAGCTATGGTGGGACTATGTCCAGCCACTGTGTTAGGGCTTTAAGTGCTTGATCCCATCCTCATAGCAATGGTATGTGGTAGGTGTTATGCTCGTTTAAATGAAGGGAGACGTTGCCCAAGGTTTACTGTGCTAGGGAGAACCAGAGCGAGGCTAAAAGGCCCATCTGACTCCAAATCTGGGGAGCTGAGCCACCACCTGGTTACGTACACCACCTCCCTCCTTGGTTGAATAAAGTAATGGGAAGAGCCAGGTATATCGATATCGAAGGTGCTCAATCAATGTTTGCTATTATGATGGTGGTGGAGTTAGAGGCAATAAAATCTGTTAGACAGATTTTGGACTTGGAAATCAGCAGACGCTTTAAACCGGGTTGGGAGACAGGAAAGGGGCTGCAGGGGCCATCTGCTGAGACCCTCCCACCGCGCGCTCCCCTTCAGCCTCAGGACGACCTGTGAGGAGATAGACCTAGCCGTAGTCTGTCCCAAATTTACAGATGGGGACCCCGAGGCCCAGGAAGGAGGAGAGATGTGACTCGAGTCACCAGGGAAGAAGTGAGGCCAGGGGGAAGGAAGCCTGGCATCCGAAAGTGGGGTGTCCTGACCTCCGCCTGCCTGGACCCCCGATCACCCTACTGGAGCCCACAGGTGGAAATGAGGCCAGGACCCTCACAAGAGGGCGCCACTTCAGGGCTGGATGCAACCCCTGAACACCCATCACCAAAGAGGGAAATGCCAAAGTCGGCCACCTCTCCATATGGTCCTCAGTTTCCCCAACTGAATGATGGGCGTGCGCTTCCACGGTCCCTCGAGGCGCCAGGCAGGCTCCCCTTAGGACCGCAGAGAAGTTTCCCTGTGACTTCAAGTCGGAGCCCCCTTGTGTCTGTGCAGCTGCAGAAGCCCCAGTCCCATTCTCACCCCAGCACAGGTCCTAGGTCTGTCG